TTTTCGTCTCCTACGGAAGCAGCACTGTAGTCTGTAGGAGTTCCAACGAACTCATCGAAGTGCTTTTTTACTTCGAGACAATATCAGAACGAGAGAGAGGGAAATGAGATTCAAAACACAGAAAGTTTGCAATGAAAATGGTGTAAATTTTCTGGTAGAAAGGCTGGCTATTTATAGACTTGTTCATGGCCATTCGAACAGTTATCACCTTTCAGACAAGTCTCAAAAATTCGAACAGACATGCTGTTCTTAAAAGTCGTGTCTGTTAAGTCGGTTAACAGTCGGCTAACAGTCGACTGTTTGATCGGTAAATAGTCGAAACAGTCAATAAGCCAAAATTTAAATTTCATTTTGCACCTAAGAATTTGATTATTTACAATTTGGCCCAAAATTTTAAATAAATTTTGTTCAAAAAGTTAATATAGTGTAAAGGTCCACCCGCATCGATCCGGCCGGCCGGTTGGACGGACGGCCGGCGGCGGCGGCGCGCGCGTGTGGGTTTATGACCGAACCCAATAGGATATAGGTCTTCCCCCTTCCAAAGACTATTGGTATCCTTTGGGACCCAAACCCAATTCCAAATTTCCACCTTATAAACCACACCAAAGTTTCCTAACTTTCCTATGTGGAATAAGTGTTTGGCAAATCAAATTCTTCCATAATCCTTAGTTTATGTGGGTTACTTTAACACTTAATATTTCATTCAATTTTAAATAGTTTTCGATAAATAAATATATCACGTCAATCATCTCGCGGAGTAGAACTTGAATATGCTATATCCCGTATTATTTAAAAGGTGAGTCCCACTGAAATTTGGGCTCAAAGTTGACCCATTAAACCATTTTTTCCAACATCATGTTCCTAAAACATAAAGAAATTTAATCCTTATAATATGAAACAATCCATACTAAACCTATCACAATTAGGACAATAATGGGATGAAGATACCAAAAGTATTAAAAACTACAATTTCACTAATCATATTATATAGAAAACATAATATATAAGAGGGAAGAATATTAGGTTGCCTCTCAATAAGTCGATTTTTATAGTCATTACTTTTACTTTGTTGGTTTGGCTATTTATGATGGTTTGAAAAAGAGCGTTTTCAACCTTGTAACAATTGCACTAGCAGTTGTTTCTTGATTTCTCTTTGGCCTTCCAAATTTTAAAGTTTTTACACCGTGCTTAATTCTCCAACCAGTCTAACTACTCTTTTTTTGTAGCGGTGAGTGCCATATTCATCTTTTTCTTCATGATCAATATCACTTACATTCCTAAAGGTAAGCAGGTCACTTGAGTGAAGTCTTCATGGTTAAACTTTTTTTTATTTGACTTCCACCCCAAGATAATCTTACTATTTTCAAAATTTATTAATCCACATTCGATTGCTAAAAATGGTTTCCCAAAATTATGGGATGTCTTGATCGTCTTTTATATCTAAGTTGATGAAATCAATTGAAAGTATAAAATCTCCAACTCTGATTGGCATATTTTCAACCATTCCATGATGATACTTGAATGACTAGTCAGCCAATTGTAGAATTATTAAATTTTCCTTTGGATCTTTCCAATTCTATTTTCTTCTCTATATTTAATAGCATTAAAATTTATGACATCTAATCGAAGATGAAAGTTAGCATGGCCGAAGGGAGGATAAATGATAGCCGGTTGCACAAAAGTTCAAGCTAAAATCACATAATCTGCTACTAAAACATTGCCATCGTTGGCAATTGCCTTGGCGAATCTAGTTGTTTTGGTGGATTTGGTGGTTACTAAACTTGGTTTTAATTTTATTTTCAGTTTATACCATCTCTGTTTCCTTTTCTCTTGCTATTCGTTGTTATCTTTTTCTTTGTTTGAAAGTCCTTTCGATCTCGAGATCCAACCATAGTAACTCAAGTCAATTTCATCATAATCTTGCAAAAACTGCTAGATAGTCTCAAAAAAAGAAATCAAACAAGAGAGAGATTAGGTGTAGCAACAAAAAAATTAAGAAAACTTGAATCTTATACAAACTGATAAACTTAACTTAAATAATTTATTCCCCGATAATGACACCAAAAACTTGATTGAACGAATGCTACAAGTGTATTGGATCATTTACAAGTAACACGTAATAAGTTAAACATCGCATCACGAGAAATAAATTCTAACTCAAGCATACTAGTTTTATATCAAAATCGAATTGTTATATGACAATGGATTATTTGTGATTATTTTAAATTATTCTAAGAGTTATGTAAAAGCATTTGTTTATCAAATTATGGAATGCTTGTATTGAATTTGAAATCTGCCTTTTTTTTTTTTTTTTTTTTTTTTTTTTCTATTTTCAATTATTAACCATGTAGTTTAGTGCTATTCATGCATTCATGAAAATTGAAAAATTTATTATACTTAATAATCGTTTTCAAAATATGTTTATTATATTCTAAACACCCGTCGATCCTATGCTTAATCCGAATTCATATGAACAGAACGCATTCAAACATACAAATATCAAAGATATTGCACGTGCCATATATATTATTCATAACATCTATTATTCGTATGTTAATTTTGCAGTGTTCTAAGCCTATTGTAATTTCCATTACTACACCAAGCAACTAATTATATAAATAGTACACAAGTATTTAAATAATACAATGGAATACAAGATTAATCAAGAAACATAAGAATTACTAAACTACTTTATTTGAGTTAATAATAAATAAACAAAGAGTTCATCTTCATTCAACACGAGAGAAATCAGCCTGGCATAAGTTTGATATGAATTACATAAAAAATATAAGAATATAAGAAGCTTGATGAATTATTAATTTTTTTGGACCCTCACAAATTGTGAATACTAATTTGTTAAGAATTAAGCGGATTGAAGATACGGATCTCGAGCTTTGACTTATCATTTCTTGATGTTATTCACTTTTAATTTTGTGCTAGACTTCTTCTTGGCGTTAGAACATCGTGTCTTACGTCCATGGCGGCCTCAATTAGTTATTTCAATGGAAGAGTAGGAGTGTAAAAAGGAATCAGGCCCATCAACACCTCCCAATAAACCATGCATGTGCATGGTCACCCTCGTACTCATACAAGATTGAGACCAATTAGTCTCGAGTTTGAAAAATAGATCCCTTATGTACGCAAGGGCTCATGTGAAATGCATGCGATGTGGCAACGTTGGGACCAACAAATTGGTCCCTAAACTTCCTCGAAGGCATGATTAGTTCCTTTCCTCATGCAATTTTTGTCATTTATTTTTCATTTGTATCCAATTGAACCCTACCATTTTCCAATTATCAATATATGATTTGGATCAACTATAGAATATTTGCATTTTAGTTCTCAAACTTTGGATTTATCTTTTTTTCACTTGCTTTTCGTTCCTTCATCCAATTCCACCATTATAATCCAGTTTTCCCTAAAAAACAAGATCAACACAAAAATAAGCTACAATCTATCAAAATCAACAATAAATATTTTAATTTAACGGTCAGGATAAGTTTACAAAAAACACTTATCAAACACTCTCAAACTTGAATTTTTATTTGTTCTCAAACAAAATATAACATAATTTAAACAAAATATGGTTAGATAACTTGTCAACTGTCTCAGAATTGAAATTTTTACGTTAAAACTATGAACTGCTTTAAAAATCACCTCGTTAAGATCAACTTCTATATTTTCTCTTCCTAGTTAATTTCATAATATATTATCTTGGAACTAAAAAGAAAAACAAATAAAGCATTAAATAAAGTCTTAATTCAACACTTCGAACGAAAATATTATATAAGGTCATTGTTTGGTACATAATAAAATCTAATTTGAATCTTAAGTCAAAGTAAAAAATTTGATTTTAATAAATATTATTTATTGCAATACATCAACGGTTTATGATATATAAATGAAATCTTCAGAAAAATATACATTACACAACTCTACATAATATTAGTTCCACCAATTGACTTCATTTTGTGACTACACTACAAAATTCTGACTTGTGCGTCGATGGTGCTCTTCCCACGAAAGTATCAATTGAAGGTGTACTTGTTTGATTTCTCCAATTTTGATTGACAAGTTGTGCTTGATTCACAATTGGTATTGTATTATAAATCAGGTTCTAATATGTTCCCTTAAAATTAAGAATTTCTGGGTACACTTTTATGGTAAAAAATTTATAGTTTTAATATGTTCTTTTTGTGTACTCCCTCTGTCCCAGTAATATAGGTTGAGTTTCCTTTTTTCTCTTGTCTTAAATATATAGGCTCGTTTCCTAATTTAGAATATATATGTATGTATGTATGTATGTATGTATGTATGTATGTATGTATGTATTTTTTTAATTTTTTTTTTGTACCAATATACCTTTATTTAATTTTTCTCACTTAATACACCAACTTCTTAAAATCATCCAAATACACACATTTCTCACTTCTTGAAAACATGGAACAACTCTCACTTCTTCTTCTTCAAATTAAATTATTCAACTTCTTTACTAATTTCAACAATAATTTACTACTACATATTGAAAATTAAATAGGGATAAACTGGAAAGATTTGGCAAAAATTAATTTTTCAATGATATTAAAGAAGATTTCTTAATTCATATGAAAAACGAAACAAGTTTATATAATTGGGATGAAAGAAATATTTATTTAGAGTGACTGCCTTACGTCCAAATCTTTTATTTCATAAAACAATTAATACAAGAGAGGCGCCTCAAAGGGCTTCATTTATTTGAAAAGAAGAGTACAAGTTGCAACATGGCTTTCAGAGCCTCACACTAAATTAAAAGGTAATAAAAGGAACAAATGCATGCATCAATTATTCAAGATGACACTTCAGAACAAATAATTATTTCACCCTTCAGCGCTTCTTAGTTTTTTTCACAGAGCCATGCCCTTCATCATTTTCCTGAGCTTGTCTCTTCAACGAAATTAAAGTCTTATTATCGAGAAAATTCATCCACCATTTAGCTGAGTTTTTCGGATATCTTGTGTAAAGGCCATTTCTGTAGTCTACATAGATAATGCCAAATCTAGAAGTGTATCCCGCAGCCATTTCAAAATTGTCAAACATTGACCATATGAAATAACCCTTCACATTTGCTCCATCACTGAACAGATGATAGTAATATCACATATGATTAGTTAATTAAACAAATTAGACAATTAATATTTCAAATCTCCAATTTTGGATTGAATAAACACTATACAAACGATGACTTACTCCATTGCTTTTTTAACGTAGACTAGATGGTCATTGTGATACTTAATCCTCGTCTCATCTTTGCAAGCATCTGCAACTGTTAGGGATGTATCATTCTCTTCATCCACCCCTGCATGAGATCATGGGGCTTATTTTTTCAATAAATCAACACAAGGATGCTAATAATAAATATTAAAAAATAGTATAAAACGATTCTTGATATATAAGAAAGCTAATAAGCACCAATATATTTACCATTCTCTGTGATGTAAATGATGGGATTATTATATGTGTTCTTTATATAAAGCATAAGCTTGTAAATTCCAGATGGAACAATGTAGAGCCAGTCTGACCCAGCCTGATGGAATTGAAGAAGATTGTAAATTAGTAGATATTTCAATTAAACCATAGTAAGCAATTTAATGCATATACCATCAAGAAATTCTTGTAAGGCAATATATTTCTGTAATTTTACTGTCTGAAGTTTATTAAAATAAATAAATTCATTCATTCTTTCTTTCTTTCATGTCTTTTTGAATATATAGAGGTCCAATTATTTATAATGTCTATAAGTAAAATACATGATTAACAACATAGAATTTGTATTAGAAACATCCAACTAGTGTTTCTAGTTGGAATTTTTTAATTTTTTTTACTCGAGCATATGAACTTTTATGAATTTTATAGTAAAAAGAACAACAAATCTGAACTCATTTTCAATATGATTACTGGGATCATGAATTTCAAGTTCCATTAGATTCCTAATCTTAAATGTAGTTATAGAACGACTAGACTATAGATAATTTATTGGAAGACATGCCAAGAGTTAAAAGCTTGCCTTTGGACCAATCAGCTTCCCGTCACGTTCAGCTAGAAAAGATTCAGATAATGAGTTTCAGATATATGACACAAGAGTCTGATGTCATAATAAATAAAGCTTAAATCTGTAAATGAAAAAGATCCCAATACTTACTTGTATATCTACACTGGCAGTCTGTTCTATAATTTGGTGGAGTACCTGGCTGTAAAGGTTCGTGGCTGACATAATTAGTCGTATAATAATTTATTCCTAAAAAGTCGTAGGATCCTTTTACCAATTCCTTCTCTTCTCGTGTAAATTGGGGAAGACGACTTCCCACTATTTTTTTCATACTTTGTGGATATTCACCTGTTACTATAGGTGCTAAAAACCTGAAATAGATGAAAAGGGTGAGGAAATTAAAGACTCGAATTATGAGACTTGCCTATGTCTATATAATTTTAAGTGTGGGTGACTTAGCCGCTTACCATCCTAGCATAAAATCGAGAGCCCTTGAAACAGCGTCTCTGTCTGCTTGAGTGTCAGTGAGAGGCTCATACCAGCACGAGACATTTGTGATCCCTATTCGTCCTTCTTGATGTGCCTGAACAAATGCGTCAATCCGAATATTCAACCAAAATAAAATATAAGGATTGATATTAGCACATTCATAGTAATGAATTACAAACCTGATATTTTTGCCTGTATATATCAACAGCTGCTGCATGAGAAAGTATCAAATTATGTGCCACAATATATGGTTCTGTGCCCGGATTTCCATTGGGGCAAATAGTTGGAGCCACGTGACATCTGTGACGACAGTAATCCGTTTTCAGAGATTCCGGCGTAGTCGCACCCCTACCTGGGGGAAAAGAGCCTAGCACATATCCTTGTAAACTAAAGGCCCATGGCTCGTTCAATGTTATCCAATATTTCACACGATCACCGAATTCGCAGAAGCAAACCTCAGCAAAATCACTAAAATCTTTTCTGTAATACACAAAATTTAATCAGAATATACATAGTTTACCAGCAAATGGCCTTGTTTATGCGAGTTTGAGTTACTTACACAATTTCAGGGCTTAAGAAGCCGCCATACTCTTGGTCCAAGCATTCAGGAATATCCCAGTGATAGATAGTTGCATATGGAATGATTCCTACACATGAAGTAATTAAATTAACTGAGAATAAAACTTTTGAATTCCATTAGTGAAATAAGTAAATAAAATAAAGCTCAAAATGGAGAATATTAATATCATTTAACCTTCATCTAAGAGTGCATCTATAAGGTCATTGTAGTACTTAATTCCTTCCTTGTGCCATAAGATAATTTTCCACCTAAAACACAAATTTAAATGAATGAGTACCTCAAATTATGATTTGTTCACATTTTAGTTATAATATAAGCAAAATTTCTACCTTTCTAATGTTAAAGAATTTTCATTCTTATATTATATTTATTTACCTGGCAAGATTCTTGTTCATGCAACTGAAAATCTATAAGAATTTTAACCCACTTTCTTCATCAACTTCACATCCTCCTGCATTGATTTTAAAAATTATGAGCACAGCTTATTGCAACCTATTTTCCCAACTTGCATTACTTTATGATTAACAATGAAATGCACAAGTACCTTGAACTTATTATATTGGTCAATAGCAACACACCCATTGCTACCACCTGCAATTTTATCTGCCAATCCAAATCCAATAAAATTTATGCTCAGCAATTACCATAATATTATAATCCACACACACACACACACACACACACACAGAGGAAGACTTGAGAGAAAGGAAAGACCAGGTTGCCTCAGCGTGAAACAATCCCAGTTACTCATGCTTTTACCATCTTTGGCCCAAGAACCTTCAACCTGAAATATATGACAAAGTAAACAAACCAACGAATAAAATGTGCAAATATTTATTCATTAATACGTGTGCATGGGCCATCTTACATGCTTAGTTAGTACTTCTTTTGAAATCATTACACAAACCTGATAAGCGGATGTTGCAGAACCAAAGATAAAATCTTTGGGAAAATCAGAGCGCATAATAGTGGATTGGGTAAATCTGGTCATCTGAACGCCGCCCAGAAGTAGTGGGGCATCAGTTTTGCTAGTCAACATTGTGTTCTTATTCTCCATTGCTACAAATGAAAAGAGAAATTTGAAGTTCTGTAAATTTATTGTGCTCTTCGACCTCTGCCTGTTTGGCTATTTATAGAGAATTAGTTGAATGAGCCTATGCAAGAATTACCCACCAAGAGTCTCAAATCAATGAGCCCATGCATGAATTATCTCTCACTCAGGGAAAAATATAAACCTGAGGCGTCAACAATGAAAATTCAATATTGAGAAATAATATATTGTTAAGACCTTATTGCTGTATCAATATCCAATGTGCCGTTCACAATGGCACCAAGAGTCCCTATTAAGTTTATCAAGCAAATGGTCAACCCTTTAAATTGGTGTCGAGCTCACTGATTCAAGTGTATAAAGTTCTAAAATTTTGACATAAATTTATTTTTAATTACTTGATCAACACTTGGTTTCAGTGGACGTTAAATAAATATCTTAATAACTTGACGTTGGAAATAGAGGGAATAAAATAATTTATCTTTTAAAAGGGAAAATTGCAGCAGAGGTATCAAACCTTTCGTTTATTAGCAGATTTTGTCCAAATCTTTAATTTGTACCACTCACAATACCAAACATTTCAAAAATATGCACCGGGGGTTCAAATGGATGGAAACCGTCCGTTTAACCGTTAATTGACCAAGAAAAATAAATTTTGACCTATTTTGATTGAATTAGAAGGGGTAAAATGGTATATTTAGAATTAACATTATTTTTCTATATTATTAACAATTAAATTAAACTAAAAAAAAAAGAAAAAGAAAATAGTCAATCTTCATCTTCTTCCGTGACTGCACCCCCACCTCACCCCGACTATAATCTGAAGTCGTCGACTACCCAACCCCTGCTGCCCATCTTCGCCCAAATCCGTCGGCCCCCATCAATTCCATAACCTCCACCACCTCGACAATCCACAATCCATTCGGACCTCCTCCTTCCCCAAAATCAAAACCACTCCAGCCAACCGTCACAGCTGCCGCTGGCAACCACTACTATCCACCCAAAACCACTATCACTAGACGGCTCCACCTCATCCACCCAACATCGGCGCCATCCACCGGCAGTAAGTATGAGGACAACACGAACTATCATCCACCATCCACTACCCACCTATCCACTGTTGATCACTACCACCACCTCAATTCAAATCGTGCTTCAATTTCACCTGAATCCATATCCTTTGCCGACCACCCCCATCACCATCCACATCATCACCACAACCTCCAGCCTAATGCCTCCTCACAACTAGGCATTGCCACGGCCTCAAAAACAGCAGTTCCCTCAAGCATTCGGAGTGAAATTGAACCTTTAGCTCGCTCAAGCAATCCAACATTCACTCCACTATCACCATGAAACTGCCACCACCGCCATCATTTTCCTCAGCACCACCACTTTCATTACCACAACAATAGCAAATCATCAAAGTCAAATCTGACTTCAAAATCAATTTTGGTTGTTTCAGATTTGAGTAAAGAAAATCGTCACTTTTTCGTTCTTCCATTATTGGTGGCAGTGGTGGTGGCGATGACTTCCGGCTGGATAGTTGTGGTGGTCAATAACCTGGGTGGAGATGGTGGCAACTTTGTAGTGAGGAGGATTGTATGGGAATGGGAAAGGAAGGATTGGGTTTAGGTGGTGATTGTTTTTATCTTTAGTGGTGCTGATGGCGTTCGGTGGCCTAGGTTGCAGCAGTGGCGATGACTTTGGGGCAAGGGGTAGGAATGGGGAAGAAAGGGTTAGGTTTGGGTGGTGAGTTGGTTTTAATCTTTTATTTTTTATTTTATTGTTAAATTATTAATATAATATTATATTTATATATACCCCTTTTACCCTTTGAAAATTATTCAATAGTTGGTCAAACCATTGACTTATAGTCAACTAACGGAGAAATTAACAGAAACCATCAATTTGAACCCCCGGTGCATATTTTTGAAAGATTTGGTATCGTGAGTGGCACAAATTAAAGATTTGGGTAAAGTCTTCTAATAAATGAAAGATTTGGTACCTCTACTGCAATTTTCCCTTTTTTAAAATCTGCTTTGAGCCGTCATATTTTGAATGATTGACGTAGTACCAAGATGTCAAACCATGGAAAAACAAAAAAAAAAAATACGGATATCCAATGTGCCGCACGCTACAGCACCAAAGTGTCTCTATTTTTTTTTTAAGCAAGTGGCTAATCCCTTTATTGATGTCGAGCTCATTAATACAAGTGCATAATGTAACACTTTCAACAATTTGTCCAGTGTTTATATTCAATTATTCATGTTAGGCGGGTTCGAATTGACATAGATAGAATTTGAATTAAGTTGCCATTGAAATTAGCAATAACGAAGTAGGATTTTTAAAGGGAGTAGTTAATTTCATCCACTGTTCTTATATATTTATTGTACACTAAATCTATTTCTATAGTTTTAATTTTTTTTTTGAAGTACTATATTAATCCACATTATATTCCAACATTATCCTTATTAAATTAAATTATTTAAAGACTACATATTCACACTATAAAATATGTATCCCACTCTAAAATCTAGTCCTATTAATTTTTTTAAAAAAAGTACTATATTCATCCCCGTTGTATATTTCAACGTTATTCATGTTTAGTGGTACAGTCAAACATTATTGATTGGGGATCAAAAATTAATTTACAAAATAATAATAATAATAATAATAATAATAATAATAATAATAATAATAATAATAATAATAATAATAATAATATCAAGTATCTTTTTCTCTTGAACATCTGTTTAATCAATATCTTGTCATTCACTCGAAAATTGAGATTCTCATTTAAATTATATTTCATAATGTTTGACGTGAAATTCAACATATAAATTAATGCTAATATATTCTAAATGATAATTCCAATCATAAAAACACAATCAATTTCAATGGCAAAGTCCCAATATTCCATTAATCACAATACAAAACAAACAATTCTATAAAACCCCAAATCCAACAACGTATTCCGACATTCTGTAAAATTCCAAAATCATCATGTTAGGATAAGTCGTTGCTTACGCTAAATGTATGATCAAAGTCGGAATTTGACAAATGCATACATATTTACATTATGAATTTCATTGTTAATGGATAAACATATTCAAAATATACATTTAGATAGAGAAGACCTAATAATGCATGAGAATTATAGAATAGAAACTTTATTTACCAAATTTTCTAAGAACCAATTCATTCTAACTAATATACAAAAAATAAGCAGGAAAAAATATATATTTATTGGCGGGTTTGTGTACAGGATTTTCAGAATTTGATAGCTAATCCCATATAAATATATAACAATTTGACCTTAGCAAATTGGCATAGATTTCAGAAATTTATTAGGTGTGGGGTCAGCTGACCCCACATGACTCCATTTAAATCTGCCTATGCTCTTTTCCCCCAAAGTAAATCTGCTTATGCTCGTGTTAAACCTATCCATTTAAAAACTATAATCCACAGAGTTTAATAAAAAATAAATTATTTATAAAAATGATAAAAGAACATGCACAATGCTATCCAACATTTGAAAACAACCAAGGCTAATGTTGAATGTTTTTATGGGACAAAATGTTATTTTTTGACCTAAGTTGGTAAAACTAAAATTGTGAGAATTGTTGAACTATTTAATTTATTTTGAAACGATAATAATAAGATTGTAAAGAGGATTAATAATTTAAAACGAAAACTTATTTATTAGTTAGAGTTGATATAGTTTATCATGAGAATTTGATTAATAATATTTGAAAATCTGTTTAAATTAATTAAGATTTATTCAACAATAACCTTAAAATCATATACATAATCATGCTTTTGATCTCAACAATAAATTAACACATCGACATATTATATATTTAAACTCATAGTTGATAATTTACAATTAAGTATGAAATAAGACTTGTGTCAAGAGATTATCTGATCGAATAAGAATTTGATTGTGGTTCGCAATGATCTCTATAATTTTGATATAATCATATGATTCCCAAATAAAGCTTGCCATGTACCTAAGGAAAATGAAAAGACACTTCAATTTCAAACTTTGCAGAAAATCCTTTAAAGTAAGAGATTTAGTTTTAAAGAATGTTTTTGCTGTAGATAAGGAGATAAGTTCTCGACCATTAGGCCAAAAATGGGAAGGGTCGAGGTATACTTAGGCCAGAAACATAGAAGCTCGCAGATAAAAATGGCAACCTTCTTAAATACCCTTGTGCATTTAAGAAAATATTATCAATAAAAATAGATTTGACAGACTCAAACTCTTACGGCAATTATCAAATAAAACTTATTCACTATAACATCGTGAAGTCTTTAGTCAAAATTAATTTGAGTAAATTTTAACCAACAAGAGTAAAAAAGATTTAAATTTTATTATTATAAGTAATGTTACTAAGTCAAATAAACTCGAAAACGAAATAATCTAACGAAAATACTGTAGTTACTGAGGACGCTTGAATCGTAAGGAAAGAAAAGGCAGATCAAAAGCATTTTGGTAGAATCAAATTTAATGAAATGGAAGGCGGCTGTTTGATAGCTTATAGTCCAGAATCCAGCCAAGTCGGGATGATTCCCTCCATATGTATATATGTGGAAAATGCAAAAATATGACAAATTTACCAACTTCTGAATCTTTGCCAGCTTTGTTAATTAAAAAAAAATAAAAACGGCAATGGAGAACAAAGAGGAAAAAGAAAATGATAATGCGGCAACGGCTTGAATACGAAGAATGTATCGTTATTTTCAAACGATATTTGCCTTTTCTATAATTCTTTTACAAATTTATTGCAAATAGTTCGTAGGATTAAACAAGCCTCAATGAAAAATATGAAAAGCAAAAGTGTTTCTCAATGAATAAGTGAAAAGAAAAAGTTTGATTATGTAGTAAGACAAAGATTCTATTTAATTTTGGATGAACAAGAAATGATTTTCTCATGTAATTTCATTATCTAATCTTTAAACTTTGATCACCTATTTATAAGTTTTGATCAGTTCACACGAAGTGATGCCAAAATTGGGATGAAATGCCACCAAATTTAAACCAAAACAGTCAAAAATGGCCACAATGGTCATAGGTTTTGCACAATATG